AAATCGACGTCATGTCTCGCGTATATATATATATATATATATATATATATATATATATGCTTGTTTACGGTTGTTATTTTCGGTGGGGTTAAGCAAATTACAGCCTTATAAGTTTATTACTTAATTTTATGGCACAAAACTTAACAGATTTGCAAAATAGAATTTTTCCAGCATAATTCGTTCTTCTTTTCTCGACAATAACGCGTTATCTCATATGTGCGCTTATCTCAATTTAATGAACGCAAAATTAATTTTTTTGTTGTCTGAACACATGTAATTAAAAAGTTTCCGGTTTTTATTAATGCTTTTTTATAGCACACCACGTATAAAAAGAAGTTTTTTTTCCGCAGCAGTTTAGGAAATTCCTTGGATATCAACAAGCGTTGAATTTAGCCCAATATCATCCCTTTTTGCCCCCAGTTTACTGAGCTGAACAGAACTCTTTTCTATAAAACAGCAGTTTGCACCCCAATTCAACTCAATGAACAAAATAGACAACCTCAAATGTGTGTTAAATCCTCTACTCAAATTGTAATCTTCCCATTTCATCGGATATACCATCTACTGTGATGAAATGGAACTTAATTGTAGAACTTAATTGCGGAACTTAATTGTTCCTGTACTAGATCGGCGAAGCACATATATTCATACCATCTACTGTATATGGTATTGTCTATTCTAGTCCTTCTGGCTTTTGCCGACAATTATATTTTTTCCTTATATATGTAAATGAAAAAGAGGAGGTTCTTCGGAAAGAAGCGGACACCAACTAGCCGTCAGACAAAGTAAACCGTCAGACCCTAGTCTGTCCCTACCTCCATTGCAATCCTCATATACGTCATTTATATTGCTTGTGCATATTAGGCAGCCCAGACCGATTACAGTAAACTTCTCTCACCTATTTTAGATGCTTGACGACCGGGGAAACACTGCAGCCTACCTGCTCTACGCCTACATCCGGATCAGGTACTTTGAATTATGTGCCTGCTTGGCCTTCTTTTACAAACAACTTTCTTCTATGAGACCCCTCCCTCCCCTTTTAAAATTTTACTTCACTCAAAGTGCAACTGACAGTTAGCTACTCCTCATCCTAGACTAACTCAAGTTCAACTTGCCTGCTCGAAGACTGCGCAGATTCTTAGTCAGTGTGTCACTGTGCGTTGCCTGTGTCCTGGGATACACTTTGCACCACATGCCTTACCACCGCATCTAGTGCCTAGTCTAATCTTACCCCCCCCCTCTTAAACTATTTTCCGTGGTTGTAGAGAGCTACGCCCCGGTAATCGTTTCGACTGGCGGTTTAGAGTTTCCCCTCACTCTGCGTAACCGTGTAGTTACTGAAGTCTAATTGGGACAGCGGAGGGGAGGAGCCAGCCGTGTTTGTGGCGGGTGTAGACAGTGGCTTTTATGCCAGCGAATCTTCGTAACCGCTGCACTACCCCCAGCCGGGATAACAGTAGTGGTCAGCATGTCTTTCTGCAAAAGAACTGCCGGATAATCGTTTTAAGAGGGTTTTAGGAGTCATAATGTCGCGCTTTCATCCCCAACCAGATCGTGATAACTTCCAAGGAGCCAAGCACGTAGGCGCTTCCTGACGTGAATGAAGGAGGGATCGCCCTTGGCGCCAAACACAAAATCCCCTGTGAGGGAGTTTCTAGCCGGCGATGTATCTTCTCAAACCAGGTTTGTAAAGCAATCCTGATAAGCAGTCGGGAGACGAGGCTGGTTTAGCGAAGCAAACAGGAATCTTCAAATTCACCGCGTTTGGGTGCGCATGCTAGTCAATGTCACACTGCTTCAAACCCAGTCTTCCTTCCGATCAAGAGTCCGA